TAATTGAAAATACTCGAAAAATAGGCAGTTTTAGGTAAAAATAGTCTTTTTATCTAACAGTTCCCAGGTATCAACTTCTAGCCAGCAGAGCCGACGCAGCTGATTGCAGCGTAATAACGAATATTTCACTGAAACACTCAAATACTGGACGGCTTACGGAGGAATGGTTTCTTGATCAAATACAACAGACAATTTTCAAGCCGCGTAGTTGTGCAATAACTAGGGAAACAATAGCATTTAATGAGTGTGCTCGTATGTAACGTGTCACTTCAGTTCTCTGTGCTATGAAGCAGAAGCGGTGTTCATCAATTTTTTTATCTCTTATTCAGAGTTATGTGCAAGCAGAAGTTTCATTACTTTGCATACGGGAGTAATCTGTTAAAGCAGAGGATTCAGTTGCGAAACCCCTCTGCGGTCTTTGCTGGCATCGGTTTGCTGTCCGGATATTCAATAAAATTCGTAGGACATAGCTCATATTGGGGTGGAGCGGTAGCAACTATCGAACCCAGTCAAGGAGATATCGTCTGCGGGGCAGTTTGGATTCTAGATACAACAGATCTTCCATCATTGGATGCTCAAGAAGGTGTACCTAAAATATACACACCTTTGGAGGTTAATGTTACCTTATCTGGGGATGTAAAAAAGGTTTGTTGTCTCTGTCCTTTGAGTGATTTTTCAGGATGTGCTTTGTCGAACGTACAGGGCTAATACCATCGATCGCGGACTACCATCACCATATTATCTCGATGTCATCCTTCGAGGGGCCATTCAGTGCTTGATCACTCCGAATTATGTGGAAAAAATCAGGTCGATCCGTCATAATGAATATTTTGGAGGATCTCCAGTCTATTCAGCTGTTCTGGAGCAGTTGGATAAAACTGAACGTGATGCATTTGAAATCAAGGAGCTCAGAGCTTTATGTTCTGATGCTAAACAACCTAAAGAATGAGTAGTCTTCAACCGCTCTTGCAAAATGATGGTAGGTGCATGTAATTGTAGGTATGTTTGCTATTCTACAAAACTCTTTTATCTCTCCCGCTTATTTTCCTTTCAGAAATCATTTAAATGACGATCAACCCGATGACCACAATTTTACGTGAGACTTATTGATGAGTGATAATTTTTTTAAAATATTTTACTCATCAATTAAAAAAGACTGTGATACAATACCATACCGTTTTTTGTACGAGACTGTGGAAAGGGAGTGTTTGCATATATATATATATATATATATATATATATAACCTTGTTAATAACCTTGTTTGCAACACCGGTTGACCATTGGATAGACAGCTCTTTTTTCAGCCAGTCCAATGAAGAATCAATGCTATAATTCGATGTTTTTTAAGTGGGTTAGGTGCTACTAACCCCCAGAAACGTGACCTGATGGTCTTGGTAGAATATTTCATAGTAAGTAGTATGTGAATGACTGGACAACAAATGACTTGTACGTGTCATTACCAGTATTTGTAGTACTTGTATCACAAATGATATGGTAGGTGTAGTCGTGAAGAATACCTCTGGCGATTTGGAGTATGAATCGATCAGAACAAGGGCGTCATACCGGTTCAGAAATGAACCACAAAAATCCAAATGAGCCCTTCGCCATGGTATGTAATTTTCCGGCCATGGTGTCCAGTTTTTCAGCCTTGTTCGTAGTTTATGTAAACTTGACTCACAGTTCTTGGCAGTTGCGTAAATGTCTGTGTCCAACTCCGTCCACCAACACATCTGTCGAACCAATGATTTCATCTTCTCTACTCCCATATGTCCTTTATGCAATTCATCTAGTATCATCTTCCTTAGTGGTGGTGGGATTACCAATCGATCGTCGCGACACAATACGCCATCCAATTGCACTGATAACTCCTCTCGGTGAGCAAAGAATTGGGGATACTTTCTCTTTATCTCTGGTGACCACCGTTTCTTGATCGCTGAGAATATGGACGAGTAGTACTGCCTGGTGGATTTTCGTAAAGATTCCCGAGACACTTGAGGCGCTGATGAGATGAAATGACACTGTTCGGCCTCTGAAAATCGCGAGTAACGAGAGAGGAAGTCAGCCGGCGGGATTGTCTGTCCTAGACGATGTTGGACGTCTTAGTTGTATGCTGCTCGGGCGATGCTCCACCTCTGCAGCATAGGAGCAGTGGACTTCGCGATGGATTTGTTGGGGTTGAACAAGAACTGTAGCGCTTGGTGATCAGTGATGATGGTAAACCGCAATCCGAAAAGGTACTTGTGCAATCATCGAACAGCCCGAAATACAGCCAACGCTTCTTTTTGAGTCTGTGAGTATCCCTTTTCTGCCGCATTAAGTAGACGTGAAACGCAGATTACTGGGCATCCCTCTTGTTCTAATACAGCTCCGATTCCGACGTCGGACGCATCGGTAGTTAGTATAGTACGTTTAGATGGTGAAATCGGAGCCAAAACAGGACGATCAATAACGCAGCGAATTAAACCACGTAAGATATCTTCACACTCCACCGACCATTCCCAAGCGTCTGAACATTGAGTACGGAAAAGCGGCTGCGCCCTTGTAGCAACGTTCGGGATAAATCGGGAATAGTATTGTAGGCATCCCATCACGGATCTCAAATGCGTTTGATCCTTCGGAGATTCGATGTTAGTCAATGGTATGAAACGTGTCGGATCGGGACGGTATCCACGGGAATCAACTATGAATCCTAGAAACTCCGACTCACTCACACCAAACATACATTTGGACGGCTTGATAGCCACGTTCCTGGCGGTGAATCACTCCAGTAGCTGCGTAAGACAGGCATCGTGTTCTTTCTTACTAAGGCCGAAAATGAAGACGTCGTCTTGATATGCAGGCACACCGTCGAGTCCTTTGATTACGCGGTCTATTGCCGATTGAAAGAGGCCAGACTACACATGCAATCCGAATGGGATAAAATTATACTGGTACATTCCCCACGGCGTGTTTATTGTTGTCTAGTAGCAAGATTCAACATCGAGTGGAATCTGTAGGTATGCGTCCGCCAAATCGATCTTGGAAAAATACTGGCACCCATGCAATGAAGTCCTCTGGTTCCATGGTGGTCGCTGCACATCTCCGCAATCTGGGATTTAACGTCAGTCGATAGTCTCCACAGATCTGTGATGCTCTACCATCACTTTTCATCGCCACGACAATCGGAGACGCCCAGGCACTGGATTAAACTTCGCTTATCACACATCATCCCGTTCCATTTTCTGTTGTAATGACTACAAATGACTGGACTACAAAATTGGAGGTGGCGGGGCAACCTACATCAGTGTTTCGTGGTGTAGCAAGTCAGAAGTGATATATAACTATGCGGAAAATTGCATTGACTGTTTTTCTGTTAGTTGTCATCTCCAGTTTTCCTGTCAAAAAAGTACAATCATCACTAATGTGTATATGTCTCCCTCGTGTTCTCAGACTGAAATCTTTGCTTTCTTTGATTCCTATATATAGCGTTTCTAGTTTCATTATTAGATGAAGGTCTTCACTTGTTGATGATTTCGATCATGCAAGGATTCACCCCCTGCTTCCTTCCAGAGGTAGGTCTGTGCTGGACAGAGTGATCACAAACTATACCAACTTATTCTCTCTCAAACTAAGGTACACTCTCGCATTGATCATCAAACATTCGTACGTTCTACTCAGATAAAATTTCATCTAAGGGACTTTTCACCCAACCGCGTCTCTCTTTTCAACCGTTTTGTTGTGATTGTTCAGTCTCGATTTGACTCTTGTCCATTGCTTTTTAAATGTGTCAGTCTGTTCGCTGAGATGATTTTATCGATCTTTAACTTGCGTTGCCCCATGAAAACCCCATCTGTCTCGGACTGCAGGATTGCCTCACCCTTTTTGAACTCATCGAGAAGGCACGGAGGAAAAGACTACAAATCTCACTATGCATCACTTGTAAAGCACTATTCTGGTTTAATCAGGTCTGAGATAACGTATTTAAATGAAATCTTGGCCACCCAAATTCTGCGAATGAAGAAAACCAGGCTCTTATGGAAAGGTATTCGCCTTCTCTGTGGGCATATCAGAAAACACTCGAATATTCCGGTGGACGTCAACAACCTTAACGCCGCTTCCATCCCCGTCAAACGGGAGCCACATTCCGTTATTCCTATGAAATGAA